ACCAGGTCACAGGTCTATACCAGGTCACAGGTCTATACCAGGTCACAAGTCTATAACAGGTCACAGGTCTATACCAGGTCACAGGTCAATAGTAGGTCACAGGTGTATACCAGGTCACAGGTCTCTACCAGGTTAAAGGACTATAACAGAACTGCTGATGTGCTCTTACTCCTCAGCCTCCAGTAAAGGTCAACATGAGGTGACCATTGCTGCCGGTTTGCCTGAGTACTGCTTCGATGGACTCTCCCCAGACGCTCTCTACACTGCCACCGTCTTTGTTCAGACTTCAAACCTGGAAGGTCCTGGAGTCAGCACCGATGAGAGAACCTGTGAGTGTTGCATGTTCTTCTCCTGTAGCTGGATTTTAAACATCTGTGTAGAAATGACTAAACAGATATGCAAATAAACAAGTGTTTTAACAAAACAGCTGGATCTGTGATCATTTAGACTCAGCATCCTGCAGACCCAGCTGGTGACATCATGACTTGTTGTGATCAGATAAATAAAGGTTGAATGAATGAATGAATCAGGTTATGGTTGTTAACAAGTCCAACAACCCAACTCTGAAACGATACAAACACTGACGTAATCATGGCCCGTGTTTACACTCGCTCTTTTTGTTTCTCACAGTGGTGAAGCCAACTTTGGCCCCGACCATGCCCCCTACCCCGACACCTCCACCCACCATCCCCCCTGGATGGGCAGGTGAGTCTGAAACACAGTCTGCACATCAGGAAACACATTTATCTGTTTGTTGTAGAGGTCAGACACCCTCCATCTGACCAACTGCTGCTTTCAGTCAATGTTTTATAGTGCCTCAGTTCACAGGTCAAAGGTCAAGACAGGACAGTTGGCCTGATCACGTACGGCTTGTTCTCCTTAAGAACAACATTGCAGCATGACTTAGGTTCATGAAGCTTCATCTGAAGGAAACACAAGACTTCTAGAATAAAACAAGACCAAAGGATTTGTGGTTACCCAGAATGCACTGCAGCACTTTTAGAGAAAACCTTTGACCTTTGAACAAGCCATACTGTGTTCTGATAAACATTTCCTACTCCAAGGCTTTAGAAAAACTGATTGTGAAATGTTAACCATGTTATTTACCTCGTGAGTTTACTGTGGTGTACATCAGCCCTGGATGCTAATGCTAAAGATGCTCTGCAGGAGCTACATGATAACATCAGCTCGCTTCAAAACAAGCATCAGGCTTTTTATGTGGTGGCTGGAGATTTTAATCACATAAACCTGAAAGACACTGCCAAGATTTTACCAGCATGTCACCATACCAACCCGAGGAAATAACACACTTGACCGTGTTTATACCAACGTACGAGACGCATATAAAGCCATCCCCTGCCCCCATCTTGGCCTCTCTGACCACATCTCCATCTTTCTGGCCCCTGCCTAACTCCCCCTGCTGAGACGTTCCAGACCATCATAGAAAACCATCACTGTGTGGCCCAGCGGCAGTGACTCTCTACTGCAGGACTGTTTTGCACGCACAGACTGGCAGATCTTCAGGGAGGCCACTGTAAATGAGGGAGAGCTGGATCTGGAGCAAAACACATCTGTTGTCCTCGGATACATCAGCAAATATGCTGAAGATGTCACCACCACCAGATTCCAAGATGGCGCCCGAGCTGGTGGCTTGCCGTTCACCTCTGTCCACTCTGTTTCTTTTTTTGCTATTTTTATCATTTTTCTTCAATAAGATCAACTCACTACTGGTGTATGATCGCCAGCAACTGCTCAATCTACAATTTTCCACCACTTATCTCGCCTCCTATGAACATTTTGATCGGGGTTCTGGGCCCCCCACCTCCGCTGCTTGGGAACGTACCTGGGTATCTCCAGCGCGCGGCCTTCGTGCCTGCACGAAAACATCGCTCTCGTCGCCGTGGGAGACGTGCTGGCCACCTCGTGAGGCTCAAAGCTAGCCTCGCTCGTTCCTCAGCTACAGCTGTCCACCGGACTGAGGTTTCTCCACCTGGATGCCTCGCGGAGTCCTACCTGCTGCAGAACATCGGGTCGGAGGCGTGCAGTGAGCGCGCGCCCAGCTGCAGTGTGTCCAACCTTATCCAGCAAACCGAAACCAACCCGGGTCCAACAGCTGCACCATCTGCTGCCCCATCGGATCGTACCAACGACCCTGCTGTGTCCGGCGGCTCCTGGATTCCGGCTGTTCGTCCCAGCTGCACTTTCTCCGGCCGGAGGAGGCGAGGACCCGACGTAAACAAACTGAAACCGCTGATCTGCGCCCCCCCCCCCCTCAACTTCTCCCTCAGCTGCTGACCCAACAAGGCTTGCTCTCCTCAATGTGAGGTCTTTAACAAACAAAACCTTCATCATGAACGAGTTTTTCTGCACAAATAATCTGGACTTCATGTTTTTGACGGAGACTTGGCTTCCTCCGGGTGAGTCAAGTGTGTTTTCTGAACTTGTGCCTGCTGATTGTACGTTTCTTAATTGCCCGAGGTCATCTGGAAGAGGTGGAGGAGTGTTGGCTGTTTTTAAGAAAATCTGTAAATGCAGACTGTTACAGACACCATCTTTTCAGACCTTTGAACTGCTGCATTTTGAACTGGGCCGCTCCAACCCCATGTTGATTGCGGTGCTTTATCGACCGCCCAAATCCTCCACAGGCTTCATCAGTGAACTGTCTGTCTTTCTCACTGCAATACTGTTAAAAAAAACCTACACTAGAATGTCACTATAATAAATATTTCATAATAATGGTGTGGACAGGATGGCTGTAAGGGGAGAAGGGAGGCCATCAAAAGAAAAAAAAAAAAAAAAAAATACGACCGTGTGCTGATTCTAGGGGACTTCAATGTGCACGTCTGTTGCCCTGAAAAGCCTTTGGTTCAGGACTTTTTAAATCTGATCCACTCTTTAAACCTGTTGCAAAATGTTGTCGGCCCCACACACCATCAGGGTCACACTCTTGATATTGTTCTGTCTTGTGGTGTATCTGTGTTAAATCTGGAAATTGGGGATGCTGTCATGTCTGATCACAAACCAATCTCATTTGTAATACCTCTTGCTTGTGTCTCTAAATCTCCCGCTCCACCCAGGACCTGTCGTATATTTAACCCTTCAACTGCTGCTCGTTTTTCCTCTGCCTTTATTACCACTGCTGCTACAACACCTGAAACCTCTGCCTGTGTCGGTGCTCAGGAGCTGCTTAGTAACCACAATGTGACCTGCACTAAGATCTTGGATCTGGTGGCCCCACTAAAAGTCAGGAAACCAAGGAGAGCCCAGTACCCATGGATGAATGAGACCACCAGGGCAGCGAGACGCCTGTGCAGGAGAGCTGAGCGCAGGTGGAAAAAGGACCATCTCCAGGTTTCTTTCATTTTGCTCAAAACCTGTTTAAAAAATTACCAGAACACTGTCAAATCTGAAAAAAACAAATATTTCTCCCAACTCATCAACTCAAATAGACACAACCCCCGCGCCCTATTCACAACAGTAAATCCATTCTAAATGTCCCTTCATATTCATGTATTGAGGCCTCTGTTGACACCTGCAATGACTTCACTAAATTCTTTGTTAACAAAGTGGAGTTGATCAGGGCCTCCATCCCCCACTCCTTAGTCAACCCATCAGCTTTTGTTTCGTGTTCTGCTACTTTCAGGCAATTCAAACCAATCACACTCCCATTGTTAAACAAAGTTGCTGGTCACATGAAGCCATCAGGATCACCATTGGACCCCATCCCAGCAGCATTGTTCAAACAGGTTCTACCAGCGATTGGGCCTGCTGTTCTAACTCTACTAAACAGTAGTATTGCTACAAGCGTGGTCCCAGAGGCGTTCAAACATGCAGTAGTCACACCGTTAATTAAGAAACCTGGTCTTGACCCTTCAGCTTGCTCAAATTACAGACCAATCTCAAAACTCCCCTTTCTGTCCAAAATCCTGGAAAAAGTAGTTTTTACTCAGTTAAATCAGTTTTTAACTGAGAACAAAATCTTTGAGGTCTTTCAGTCTGGTTTCAAGCAGCTCCACAGCACCGAAACAGCTTTGGTTAGGGTTTGTAATGACATTTTAACAGCAAATGATTCTGGTCATTTTGTGGCTCTTGTACTCCTCGATCTTACTGCTGCTTTCGATACTGTTGACCACAGTATCCTCATCTCTCGGCTTGAACACTGGGTTGGGATTACAGGTGCTGCATTAGACTGGTTCCGCTCATACCTCTCTGACAGGAGTTTTTGTGTGAAGGTGGGTAAAAATCTATCCACTTCAATGCCTCTTTCCTGCGGTGTCCCGCAGGGCTCGATTCTCGGACCCCTTCTATTCTCGCTCTATCTGCTTCCGCTGGGGTCGATCCTAAGAAAACATGGTATTCCATTTCATTGCTACGCCGATGACTGTCAGATCTACCTGTCACTGAAACCAGCCAGTGCTTGTTCCGTCCACCCTCTCCTCAAATGTCTGGACGACATTAAGACATGGATGGCTTCAAATTTTCTAAGTTTTAACGACCAGAAGACTGAAGTCATTGTCTTTAGCCCTAGCTCAGCTGCCGCCTCTTATCCTGTGAACCTGGACTCCCTTCAGCCTTATCTGAAGCACTCTGTTAAAAACCTCGGAGTGGTTTTTGACTCGGATTTTAAGTTCGACAAACAGATCAGTTCGGTTCTGCAGAGAAGCTTCTTCCAACTGCGGCAGGTAGCTAAGCTCAAGCCAGTGCTGTCTAGACCCGACCTTGAGACACTAGTCCATGCATTCATCACAACCCGCCTGGACAATTGTAATTCACTGTATGCTGGGGTCAGCCAGGCCTCTATCTCACGGCTACAGCTCGTCCAGAATGCTGCAGCTCGGCTCTTAACCGGTACACCGAGGTATGAGCACATCACACCAGTTCTGTCCTCCCTACACTGGCTTCCTGTGAGAACTAGGATTGATTTAAAAATTCTCCTCCTGACCTATAAGTGCCTAAATGGCCTCGCACCCATCTACCTCTCTGAGCTACTGGAACCATATGTTCCCTCTCGGGCTCTGAGATCATCCGATCAGCTGCTTTTGGTTGTTCCAAAAACACGACTGAAGCTCCGAGGAGATCGGGCGTTTTCAGTCATGGGTCCCAAACTGTGGAACAACCTACCCCCTAACATTAGGCATGCCACCTCCCTTCCTGTGTTCAAATCCCTGCTAAAAACATATCTGTTCTCTCTGGTGTTTCATACTGTGTGAGTTGAGTTAGCATATCGTTCCATGTCTTCATTTTAATGCTGTTGTTTGAATTTTTAAGGTATATTCTTACTGCTTTTTATTTCTTAGTGTTACCATTAGTGTTAAGCACTTTGATAACAGTCTATCTGTTTTAAATTGTGCTCTATAAATAAATATGACTTGACTTGACTTGACCAGGACTGCGAACTGTTACCCGAACCAGAAACCCTGGCTGAACGCAGAGGTCCAAACCCTACTAAGAGCCAGGGATAATGTATTCAGGTCTGGTGGCTCACAGGAACTGAGGAGGAAAAGGAAAGAGCTGGCTGCTGGTATAAAGAGGGCCAAAGCAACATATGCACAGAAGATCCAGTGACATTTCCCCTCACAGGACCCACAGAGCATGTGGAGGGGCATTAAGTGCATCACAGACTATAAATGCAGAGGTGCACAATGCCCTAGGGACCCATCACTGCCTGATGCTGTTAACAGGTTCTATGCACGCTTTGAAGACCTGAACAGACCACCCAGCACCAGAATGGAAATGCTTCAAAAGACTGGTCATGACCCACATTAAAACTACAAAGTACCATCAACATCAACGAGGACCCTCACCAGTATGCATACCACAAGAACCAATCAACAGAAGATGCCATCTCCTCTGTGGTCCACACTGCTCTCGCCCACCTGGAGCAGAAGGACTCCTATGTCCATATGATCTTTGTGGACATCACGTCTGCCTTCAACACCATGATCCCCCAAACCCTGATGGACAAACTACTCACACTAGGACTAAGTCCCTTCATTTGCAACTGGGTCCTGGACTTGTTAACAAACAGACCACAGTTAGTGAGGATTTTATTATCCTTTATTTAACAAGGCAAATCCCATTGAGATCACAGATCTCTTTTGCAAGGGAGGCCTGGTCCTGAAGGCAGTCTAACCGTCTGAGGAAGTAGAGTCTCTGATTAACTTTCTTCATCAGGCTGGTGGTGTTGTTGCTCCAGCTGTGTTTGTTGTTCAGGTGCACATCCAAGTACTTGTAGCTGGAGACCATTCCACTGCAGATCCTATGTTCGGGGGGGGGGGGGTGGGGGTTTAGGTGTGTTTGTTCCTTCTGAAGTTCACAACCATCTCCTTCATCTTCTTCACATTGATGTGAAGGTTGTTCTTCCCGCACCAGCTCTCCAGGTGTTCCACCTCTTGCCTGTAGCTGGACTCATCATTGTTTGTGATGCATCCCACCACCGCTGTATCATCTGCAAACTTTACAATGTGACAGCCTGGATGGGTCACTGCACAATCATACATTATAAGAAGGCGGGGCCAGTCTGTGTAATACCAAACCCCTCCCTTCAGCTGTCAGCACAGAGGTGGAGGCTGATGGTTCAGGCTTCTGTCAGCCACTGAGTGGGCCAGAACTCCTGTATAGACCAAAGGGGTCTAACAGCTCAAGCTTGGACCAAACTGAGTCCAACAGGACCATGGTCCCAAACCCAGCAGCTGATCTACAACAGAATGGGTCAGAAAGAACAGAACCAATGAGCTGCAAAGGTCCAGTCAGAGTTTAGAACCTCTGCCTGACTGAAATGGACCCAGTCCAGTGTTGTTTCAGCTCAGCTGATTAGAAAGACTTCAACAGGCAGGAGGACGGGGTGCCACATGGCGCTGAAGAACAACCTTCAACAGCAGATGCTGACAGGAAGCTTGTCTGAAGAAGTCCAATCTGGTTTTCTTTCAGGCTGCTTTCCAGCTTGTTCAGAAAGATCTGACCCAAAAGAAAGCGCACCCAGCTGCTTCCCATCAGGCAGAAATCACTTCAGGCTTTTTGTCTGAGGAACCTGGAAATCAGAGCTGAACTTTTGTCTCTTTGTTTTGAACCCATAATTCCTGCAGACGGTCGATCACGTTTGAGTTGTTTTGTCGTGATGCGGTACAGCTGTGTGATGATGTCACATTGCTGTGTTGTCTCGCCTCAGTGTGTAAAGGTGCCAAAGCTGACCTGGTGTTCGTCATTGATGGGTCATGGAGCATTGGAGAGGAGAGCTTCACCAAAGTCATGAACTTTGTCTCCAGCATGATCGGAGCGTTTGACGTCGTCGGACCATCAGGAATGCAGGTCGGTTCTGTTCAGATCCCATACTGTCTGTCAACATCTGGAATGTTACAAAAACACCATTTGAACTTGGTTCATAAAGCACCACATCAGCAGAGGTTCTTCCAGGTGGTGCTGAAGAGCTGCTTAATTTGAGCATGAATCATAAAGCCGTTGTCTCCAGGTAAGAGAGCTCCTCGTGCTTTTCCACGCAGGTATCATTCGTGCAGTATAGCGATGGATCCAAGACAGAGTTCAAGCTCAACTCGTATCAGGACAAAGGTGTCGCCATGGCAGCAGTCCAACAGATTCGCTACAGAGGAGGAAACACCAAGACGGGTTGGAGCTTCATGTTGTCAGTGATGAACATGAGTGAGCTTTGAGTCGAAGATATTTTAACACGTTGTCCTTCTGCGGAACAGGAGAGGCTCTCAAACACACCTACGAGAAGGCCTTTTCTGTTGAAAACGGGATGAGGAGGAATGTCCCAAAGGTGGTCGTGGTGATCACTGATGGACGTTCTCAGGACGAGGTGAAGAAGAGCGCTGCCAAGCTGCAGCATGCAGGTTAGTGAGGCTCAAACTAACACCAGTGACCATCTGTCGACTAAATCTTTATCTTGTTTCCTTTGCAAATGGAGTTGGAGTATCAGTCTGGTTTTAGCTCGTTTGTCAGATGATCAGCCTGGTTTTAGCTCTTATGCTGGATCATCAGTTTGGTTTTAGCTCATATGTTGGATCATCGATTTGGTTTAAACTCATCTGTTGGATGATCAGCCTGGTTTTAGGTCGTGCTGAGGGCAAATGATGTTTCTGTCTCCCTCAGGTTACAGTGTTTTCGCCATCGGTGTAGCTGATGTGGATTTCGTGGAGCTGCAGGCGATCAGCAGTAAACCCAGCGACAGACATGTCTTCGTGGTGGACGACTTTGATGCCTTCGACACCATCAAAGAAAACCTGATAACCTTCATCTGTGAAGCTTCAACTTCCTGTCAGTCCATCAGCTGTAACACAAACAGAACATTAGCTGAAGTTTCAGGTCTGCTTCGGCTGATCTGTGCTGTGTTTTTTCCGCAGTGTGTCCTTTGATCTACGTCAATGGATTTACATCTCCTGGTAAAACTTCTGGTCCTTCATCAGAGACGTGAGGTGTCCTCTTCCTCAGTTTGATGCTGTGTCTCTGTTGTCTCAGGCTTCAGGATGCTGGAGGCCTTCAACCTGACGGACCGGAGCTACAGCCACATCCCGGGGGTGTCCATGGAGCCCGGCTCCTTCAACAGCTTCACGGCCTACAGACTCCACAAGGACGCCTTCCTGCAGCAGCGCACCACGTGAGTCCGAGCCGCCAGATCAGCTGAGCACACGGCTGTTCCTGTGACGGCAGCAGGTCTGAGCCGTGTTGTAAACCACACGTATGTTCCAGCGTCCCACCGGGTCAGAGCGGTGTCTGTTCTGGAACCAGACTCCAAGCTCGAAAAGACAAACCTCTTTGTCCCTCAGGGTTCTACGAAACCTGGAGAAAGTCTGGAGATTATTTTACTTAGAGAAATAAATGGTGCAGAAGCAAGAGCAGCATCATTTAGCTGTTTGTTTGTTTGTTTGTTTGTTTGTTTACACCAGGGGTTCTCAAACATTTTGGGTTCAGGGACCCCGTCATAACCTTCATGTTTATTAAATAAACGTCTTCAGTCTGTGAAACATAAATACTTCAGACCTGTTCTTTAACAGAGTTACAACTTTTATGTTTTTAAACATGGAGTATTTTCATTCAACATACTCTTAATGAACATAATTTTAACTTCAAACATGAGTTTTGAAAAAATGAAAAGTATAAAAAACTTTAAAACGTCACCTCTTCACATAATAAATGTTTTTCCATTTCTTGGAGTCGTCACAGAAAAGTGTTGACGTGAACAGAACCAGGAGTCACAACAAGCTTAATTTGTAAACACATCCATGCTGGGGGGTCTGGATCCAAGCTGGGGGGTCTGGATCCATGCTG